ACAAAAAAACTGTACTTGCAGATAATACAATGTTAATGAAATAAAATATGACTTGTGTACTTGAAGAGAGACACTTTCATGATTATATTTCTCAACACATTTAAGTACACTTTTAATGTTTTAATGTAATGTTTAAATAAAAGTTTTACTTCAAAGTACATTTTTAAATCATGTTGTTTTAGTAATAGTTCCAGTACACTTATTTTGATGTGTAACATACTAAATCTCATGAAAAGTACTTGATTATAATTGTAACTGTAGTTTGTTATTCGATTATGTTAAAGTTAATGTATCTTAAATCTACTAAATTGCAAGTTCATCATTGCAAATGTGTAATTGTAGCTATATTTAAATGCATGACATGCAAATTCCAATGCAAAATTTACATTCTTCCTCATCTTTGTTTTGGGTAATGTCTCTCTTTGTATTCTGTATTATTGGGGTCAGAATTGGTGCAACGCATTTTGATGCTCCATACATGAACCTACAGACACCTACAGCAGAGGAGTGGGTAAATGATTACATAATGCTCATATTTGGATGAAATATTTTCCTCTTTTTCCACTGTCTCCCATTTCACATACATTTTGTATTTGTAGGACGCAAAGGTCAGCATGAAACAGCAAGCTTTGAGCTTTACTCATGGGATAATGCAAGGGTCACTTACATTGTCTACCTTTTTCTGCTTTTTTGTTGGTGATGAAGATGGTGTTTGTGTGAGCTTCAAGACTGAACGCACACCTACACACACACAATGACACATGATTGATAGAGCGAGCATGGGATGGGAAATTGGTCTCTTATCAGCTCAACTCTGGTGCGCTTTGAACACATTCAGCACAAGGTCATCTGGGCTCAGGTAACTCTGGTCGGCTCTTGGTCGATAATGGACCACAGAGATGGAAAAGCTGTTCTGCCACACCGCTTCAGGCACATTAATACAACTACAAACAATTTCTCCTGAATTTATTATTCACAAGTGACCTGTTCCAACACACTCTTATAAGGAAACATATCTCTCATGACTTTTACCCTGCACCACCAAAATGTCACCTTCAAAACTAATTTTTAACATCACTCTGGTGCCGTTTTCCACTTCCTAAGGGGATTCCATCACTTTATCCAAGACTAAACTTCAAAATTTATGGAAATTCATGTTAGCTTTGACAGTTAGCATAGGTTGGTAGATGCCATAACTGTACCATTACACTGCTAAAAATATGTTTTTGCCAAAAATGTCTATGAAATGATGCATGGTACAATTACAATCACAGCCAGAACATATTAGAAGTTTAATTTACAGCTATGAGGAGCAGGATGCTGGACCAATTAGAATTTATGGCTACCCAGCATGACACCACTGAAATAGAAACCAAGCGGTCGATAAAAATGTTCCGTTGCTTGTAACTTTATTGCGCCATGACTGGTGAGGACACACTGATTCTGCCATGGTTAAAGGGATACTTCACTCAAAAAGGAGAATTCTGTCATCATGTAGTTCCAAACCTGTATGATTTTCTTTCTTGGAACATAGACAAAGATATGAAGAACATCCAAACAACACTGCACACATTGATTTCACAGACCTTCACTGACTTGTGCTTGTACTGCAAAACAGATGCAACATTGTAGACTTTATTTTTTATTTTTTATAAAGTGCATCATCCAGGTATTTGAAGTGTTCTTAAAATTTTCAACACACTATTCTCACTACTTGTACTACAAATCAGATTAGAATAGAGCACAAATTGAGACGCAACTAATGTTGTTGGATCGCATACTAACACTGACTGTGCAAAATATACAAAATCGTATAACTTTAGTCTCATGACAATATATCACTGCTAAACCTGGTAGCTTTTGGAAGGATATCCTAAAGTGACTGTTTACCTTGCACAAACTCAACTACAGGAATTATTAGTAATGCATACCCAGAAGTTGATCTGTAGTAGGAGTCCCATCGCAAGAAAGGTTAGGCACACACAGCTCAAATAATCAAACATTTATTACACGGCTTTGTGGAATACTTGATTCTGATTGGTCAGTCATGACATTCCGAGGTATGTTATCCCTCGATAACAACCGGTAAAAGCTAATAACACAGGCTCATCCGGGTAACTGAAGTCGGCGCTATACTCTTTCTAGGAACAGTTTTTTTTGTTGGTGGAAGCCTTTCGTTTGTTTAGCTAATAAAATATTAAAACTCGATTCAAAATGGTGTACAATTATTTAATTATGGCACTCTCTCGTTCCATACAAACGCAGCTGCTGCCATTTTGCTACTATTGTTCTGTACGCTGTAATGGATTATAAGATAACTAACAAACTGGTAAGATTTTAAAACATTTTCGTCTTAAATCTTATATTGCCTTACTTATTTATGTGGTGAAATGTTGTGTAATAAGTGGTTTCCCTTAAATGTCCGTCTAGTCTGAACTTGCCGCTTGCTTGGCAGAATAACCCCCTTCAGGGTGATACAAGACCTCTGCTTCGCGTTGGGGTCCTGATCACCGTGTCCCTGGTGATCAGGACCCCGACGCGAAACGGAGGAACAACCGGCTGGATGTACATTATCCCACTTATTACACGGCTACTTGCCACATAAGTAAATAATTTAGGGATCCACCGATATGGAAATTTTGGCCGATACCGATAACTGATAACTCTTTATATTTGGAGGCCGATAGCCGATATATAGGCCGATAAATATACATATACATTTTTCTGAGCATGACTGCAAAAACAAAAGGCAAACACATTTTATTTTAAAACCTTAACTTCAGAAAAGTTTGAACTGATCTCTGAATGTGGAATACTTGATTCTGATTGGTCAGTCGCGACATTCCGAGGTATGTTATCCCTCGATAACAACCGGTAAAAGCTAATAACACAGGCTCATCCGGGTAACTGAAGTCGGCGCTATACTCTTTCTAGGAACAGTTTTTTTTGTTGGTGGAAGCCTTTCGTTTGTTTAGCTAATAAAATATTAAAACTCGATTCAAAATGGTGTACAATTATTTAATTATGGCACTCTCTCGTTCCATACAAACGCAGCTGCTGCCATTTTGCTACTATTGTTCTGTACGCTGTAATGGATTATAAGATAACTAACAAACTGGTAAGATTTTAAAACATTTTCGTCTTAAATCTTATATTGCCTTACTTATTTATGTGGTGAAATGTTGTGTAATAAGTGGTTTCCCTTAAATGTCCGTCTAGTCTGAACTTGCCGCTTGCTTGGCAGAATAACCCCCTTCAGGGTGATACAAGACCTCTGCTTCGCGTTGGGGTCCTGATCACCGTGTCCCTGGTGATCAGGACCCCGACGCGAAACGGAGGAACAACCGGCTGGATGTACATTATCCCACTTATTACACGGCTACTTGCCACATAAGTAAATAATTTAGGGATCCACCGATATGGAAATTTTGGCCGATACCGATAACTGATAACTCTTTATATTTGGAGGCCGATAGCCGATATATAGGCCGATAAATATACATATACATTTTTCTGAGCATGACTGCAAAAACAAAAGGCAAACACATTTTATTTTAAAACCTTAACTTCAGAAAAGTTTGAAGTGATCTCTGAACTTTATTAATTAACAATTCATTTCTATGGCCAACTTTCTTTTATATAAATAAAATCTATTGCCTTGACAAAAAAGTAATGCATAAATAAAGCAACCAAGTCACTGAACAACATTACTTACATAATCAAAATACCAATCAAATAATACAAATTTGCAATAGATAAAATGTTTATTCTGATACAGCATGACTTTGTGTGAATTTAACAGAAAGGCCAACTAGAAACATGATTGTCTGGCTACTTCATCTGTGAATGTAAGAGTGGGATGTTTTTTTTTAATGAAGAGAAGCATTTCAGCTTTCTCACACATAAGTCTGTTTCTCTTTTCATCAATCACATTTGATGCCGCTGAGAAGAGACGTTCGCTGTCAACGCTGGTACAGGGAGCTGACAGGTATTTGCGTGCAGCTTGGGCCAGGGCTGGAAAATGGGACATATTGCTTTTCCAAAACTGCAGTGGGCTCTCACTCCTGGAAATGGGTGGCTCACTTAGATATGCATTCACCTACAAAGAGCAATAAATAATGTATTACAATCCTTTCTTCAGTATAACACACATAAGCTTGTAAATTGAAACACTATAAAAACAACAACAAAAACCCTTGCTGCACAGTCAGCTTGCATTCACAGCTAGCATTCGTTTCAGCTTAAATTATATTAAACAGACTTTAAAAAAAATATTTACATAACTTATTATAAATGTTGAATACTGCTCAACTTATTTTGATGTTACAGTAATGTATATATGTCATATTGGTCATATTTTTAGAGTGAAGCTAAAACATTAAAGCATGTTTTGTACTCTATATTACAGATGTCAAATAAAATGTTTTTTTTTTTTTTTTTTTTTTTTTTATATGAGGGGGAAAAAATCATTTACCTGCTGTCCTACTGGAGATGTTTGGTGCGTCTGGTGTTCTGTGGCCATGTTTTCTTCAAGAATTGCACCATACATGTCAAGCAGGGATGTTGCGCCTCCGTCGCTCTTGGTGCACGTCTTTTTTAAAGGGGGCTCTGTCTCATTTCTCTCTTTCTCCGTGCTATTTTCAAGTTCTGTCATCTTGTTCAGTTGTCTCAGCAGCATTTCTGTTACTCGCTGTTTGGTGGCTTGATCAAAAAAGCGATCGTTGTACCTTGGGTCCAGGATCGTTGCCAAGAAGTACAAAGGCTTGGTGTATATGCCATTAAACCGCTGCTTCACAGCCTCCAGCAGAGTAGCTTTTGTCGTCTTCACACCTCTATCTGTACTAAGACTCTTGTTCAGTAAACGTTTCAGAGCCTCAACAGAGGGAATCACGTCTGAATCAGTTGCCGTGTGTGAACTTATTTCTCTCGTCAGTTCTTCGAAAGGCGCAAGCAGTGTTACTGCATTTTCAATAAGGCCCCACTGGTACGCGCTGAAAGATGCGGGAAGCTCGAATTCTGCCCCATATGCACTAAGTGCTCGCTTCTGTGCTAACAAACTTGACATCATATAAAACGTACTGTTCCAACGTGTCGGAGTGTCTTGTTGCAGCATCTTTTTTGACAGTCCTAGCTCTGTCTGTATCTCTCCAAGTCGGGACATGGCAAGGTGAGAATGTTTGAAGTGCCAGACTATCTTTCTCCCTATCGCCATACAGTCGGAAATGCTGCGCTGGCTCAGAACTCCGTCATGCACGGCTAACTGGAGAGTATGAGCCATGCAGCCAAGACTGTTCAATCCACAGTCTTCGATGGCTTTAACCATAATTGCGGCCATTATCTCGCAGCACAGCATGTACCATATCTTTAGTTATGTTCCACCGAACGAACATGCTCTCGAGTGCCCTCGCTATAGCAGCGCCGGTGTGAGAGCCTGGGCATTCTTGCGCATGCAACATTACTCTCCTCATCTCAAAGTTTTCCTCAATCCACTGAGCAGTAAGGCTCAACATACTCACTGGACTTACGTCAGAGCTCCATATGTCAGTAGTGATACTTATATCTGTCACATTTTTGCCCAACAGCATGTGGATGTGAGCTGCCACTTCATTGTATAGAACGGGGAGCGAAACGTCAGCGAAGTGCCACCGGCTAGGGAGCGAGTAGCGCGGTTCAATAAATTTGATAAGCCGAAGAAATCCAAAATCCTCAACAATGCTGAAAGGTTGGTCATCAATTGCAATCATTTCCATAACTTTGCATGTGATGGCTTTTGCTTTGGCACTGTCCCTGTCAAATTTCTTCATATTGTCAAGTGTTTGTTGTACTGGCTTATTGGTAGTGGGTAACACTGTTTGTTTGGCAGTGACTTTCGTCTGATAATCTTTATACATTTTGGGATGGTGAAACTTCAGATGGCTTATTAGATTAGTAGTATTGAAGTTTTTTGTTCTACTGCCCCCTCGCATTACCTCGCATTTGCAGCTGTTGCAGATTGCAAGTCTGGTGTCCTCTTTTTTCACGATGAAAAACTCCCACACTGCTGACATCTTATCTTCTCTCTAGCACCAGCTCTTGTAACGCCCGCGTCTGCTTTGTGCGACGTCACAGAAGCGACGATCAAAACCCTAGTGGCCAGCAGCAAGCACGTGAAGTGGTTCAACCAGCGGAAATAATACATAATTTATCGGCTTAAAGATATCGACCTAATTTTGTTATTGGACCGATAACGATAATATTAAAAATAGCATTTATCGGCCGATAACGAAATGGCCGCCGATATATCGTGCATCCCTAAAATAATTAGACGCGAAATATTGATTTGAGTTTAAATATTTGAACGCAATTGGCTTCCGTGAAGACAACAGTTGCGAGCAAGCGGCAAATTCAAACTAGACGGACATTTAAGGGAAACGGTGCAGTCAAACCACTTATTACACAACATTTCACCACAAAAATAATTAAGGCAATAAAAGAATTAAGACGAAAATGTTTTAAAACCTTACCAGTTTGTTAGTTCTCTTATAATCCATTACAGCGTACAAAATAATCATAGCAAAATGGCAGCAGCTGCGTTTGTATGAAACGAGAGCGAGTCCGCGATACCAGGATGACATAATTAAATAATTGTACACCATTTTGATTCGAGTTTTAATATTTTATTAGCTAAACAAATGCAAAGCTTCCACCAAGCAAAAATTGTTCAAGCAAGAGTACAGCGCCGACTGCTGTTACCCGGATGAGCCTGTGTTATTAGCTTTTACCGGTTGTTATCGAGGGATAGCATACCTCGGAATGTCGTGACTGACCAATCAGAATCAAGTATTCCACAGAGACAACAACCGGCTGGATGTACATTATCCCTTACTTATACTGAACAATATAAGTATGTTGGCTCCTTCCTCACCATTGATAGAATTTTCCAGAAATTTTTGTTTTGATTGTTATATGGAAGGAGGCGCTATTACGCAACTTCTGAAATAGATCACCATCACCAGATTCAAAAACAAGCGAAAGCATTGCTTATGAACATGTAAGCTAACACAGTCATCAAAGAGGTATAGGACTGTGATTTGCGGGTTGGTGTTGATGGACTCGATCTACTTTGTCGGGTCTCGGGTCTGATCACCTGTTCTTTGCTGTCTCTGTGTTTGGGTGTTGGGTTGTTGTTGTGTTGGCTTGTTTTGACAGCTCGCCACGTGCGCATTGTCAGCATGATTGTTTCCCCGCCCTCCTTGTTTCTCTGCTCGCTAGATTCTTGTTTCACACTATTTAGGTGCTGCTTTTCCTGCCGTCTCTGTGTCTTGTGTTTTGCAGGTGGATCCCGCTGACTTGACCGGCGTCCCGGCGGAGTACTGGTTTTCCAGGGTCTCGTCAATAGCGTTCTGGGTGACATGATTAATCAGTTCGTCTTTGTGTATTTGGATGATATTCTGATTTTCTCCCCTTCTATCCACTTACACACCCAGCACGTTAGACGGGTCCTCCGGCATCTATTAGAGAACCAGTTGTTCGTCAAGGCGGAGAAGTGTGAATTCCACGCCGAGTCTGTTATGTTCCTTGGCCATATCATCTCTACCAGGGGTTGGTGCAGTTCTATCTCAGCGATCCCTCCGCGACGGCAAGATGCACCCGTGTGCTTTCTTCTCTCGCCGTCTCAGCCCTGCAGAATGTAACTACGACATTGGCAATAGAGAACTGTTGGCGGTGAGATTGGCCTTGGGTGAGTGGCGTCACTGGTTGGAGGGGTCGGCACAGCCCTTCTTGGTCTGGACGGATCACAAGAATCTCGAATATATCCGTTCGGCCAAGAGGCTGAGCTCCGGGGCTCTTTCTTGGGGTATCGAGCGGCGAGTAGAGGAGGCCGGCGGAGGGGTGCAAGTGCCAAGGAAGTGCCCGGCGGGCAGTTTGCCAGTGCCGGCTGCCATGCGCCCTGAAGTCCTTCAGTGGGGTCACGCGTCCAGGCTGGTCTGCCATCCA